GAACCAGCGAACCCCGGGCCGCCGCAGCGGAGCGCGTGCACTTAACCGCTTGCGCCACCGGGCCGGCCCCTCCCTTTTCTTTTCATTTGATGGATCACCATACTGATCTAACTCATTCCTTCCTGACATGATTATCAAAAAGGAGTAAAAAAGGCCAGATTTACTGCCTAAAATTCCAATCACACATCTTTGGTTAGTGCAGACTACTGCCATTAAGCTGGTAAAGTCAATCGTGAAAATGTTGAGTAGGGATTGCAAAATAAACTCTCATTCTGGGGACTTAATTCTTCGTGTTACAACCACGTAATTCCATGACCCCGAACAGTCGTAGCCTGTCCACAGAATGGGCTCTATTAAAACCTGGGAGCAAGTCCAGAGTAGGGACTGAAACTTCATTTTACACCTTTCCTGGAGCTTTGTAGGCTCAGGCACTGTTGTAGCCAACTGCCAAAAAACAGCATCAAGGGAGCTAGTCATCACAAAAGGGCCTTTGTACACTGTCTGCTGCAAATTAAACCAATCAACCCACTCTAAACCAAGCACTCTGAAGAAACTATAACTATCCCCACTTTTCTGCTTCAAAGAATATCTTCCTGCTTCTCACCAATAATTCACTTTTGCATGCCTGAAATCACATGTTTAGCTCTTTCTTCCAGGAAAAAGAGAAATTTTCATTAGCAAATGTGAATAAACCCCAAATAATACCAAAAATCGTGCTGCTCTTGTGGTTAAGTCATGTCATTCATTAACATTTGTGAGAATTGTCCAAGTAATACTAACCAAAGAAGTTTTACCTCAAGTCAACTGGAAGTGAGTGAATTAAATGCCATCCAAACATTCAGCATTGTTAAATAGTGCCAAAAGGAGAGAGTTTTACCCTGCCGAGTGCCAGCTAATGCATTTCTGGTTCTAAAGCAGTGTTGGTTGTTTAACACCAACAAGCTCACAAATCAGGGTTCTTAAAAGAGACAAGGCAAAAGAATGCGGCATGACAGGACAACACCAACTATTACACTGGTTCCCCCTCCCTTGAGAGTCAAAAGGCTGAGAAAATGGAAATGAGGGTCAACTTACCAAGTGGTCTCTCTTCATGGACCTACTCATCTCTCAACACATTTATCCAGGTGAAACCAAGTCAAAAGATCAAGGACTAATTTAAAGGGGAGTTAAAAGTCAAAGAAGAACAAAACTACAACCAGAAGTGGGGTAGACAGTATAGTCCTTGCCTGCCCTAGCTGGTGATGGCAGGATTTACCAACTCCCTCTGATTTCTATATTCCTTTAAGCACCAGCTGGTAAAGGTATCTCCTTCCCCACACTTTCCATTTCCCTTCGTTATTACCCATCTACCCTTTGTCTCACCCTTCCCCTACCCTCCCACCCCAATCCTAAATATGGAACTCAAAGCAATAGGGCTGATCTTTCAGACTTTAAGGACCACTCACACACAGCACTCTGGTCTTCCTGTGGGAGACAGAGATATAACTTACACTAGCAACAAAGACAACTTTCCTTGAAACACCTACCTCAAAGCAGATTTTATTAATTTGTTGAGAGAAAAATTTTCCTGCTAGGTAGAAAAGACAATTGTTCTATCTAGACTATACAAAGTTATAAAGTAAACCAAAAAAGGCATAAACTCTTTTCCTCCACATTAAATTTAAAGTACCTTTTCCTTACTTGAAACTCCACCCAAGTCAAACAACTTGGTTCTATCAAATACATAAATCCAAGCATTTGTGTAATAGAAAGATTTCACTGAAAGGAAAGTCTTTCAGCAATAATAATGCCTCACTGGCTACAATATAGCTACTATGGCTTAAAAACCTTTCTGAAAATTAAATATCAATGTTTATACTGCCAGAAATTCCAGCAATCATCATCCAAAAGGGCTCTCTTTGACAATTTATAAAGTTTTTTTAATAACTTAGTTTTTTCATGTGGAAGTTATAGTATCAACATTATTTCTGAAGAAAATAACCTTTGCTGAAATTTGAAGATCTTTACTTCTTCACGCATTTTTACCCGCGTGCCACTTGGCAATACTATTTTCATAAATAAACTGCATAAGCCAACAGTGGCAATAGCCCAAGCATGTAAATGCTGAAGTGAACCAGTTCCCCACAGGTTGCAGAGTCTCCTTCATGCTAAATTATAGCATGTATTTTTCTTGAATGGAAAAATACTGTGCAAATGAAAGATGCAGCAGACACAAAGAAAAAGCTCTCTTTTACATTATTCATTAAGTAGGTTTTGTTGGTTAGAGGCAGGAGCAATACAAACCTTCATCATTTGGTTCACCATTCTAGGGATTCCTAACTTACTAAACTATAATAGAGGGACACGCAGAAATAGGAATATTTTTTAAACTAATCAATTGGCATCTTTGCAGAGCCGCTCAAGAGAGTGACAAATCAGGTCACTTAACATAAGACAAATTAAGGAGAAGTCCTCTAGGAATCAGCATATGAACTACTATATGAGCAAAAGTAATTATTTTAGAACTGCTTGAACAGAAAAAAGCAATTACATACCTGAGCCAAGATATTAAGTCATTTAATCCTCAAACTAAGACAAAGAAAGTATCCACAGCAAAATTTTCTATTTCAAGATAGTATAAGAAAGGTCAGTTTGGTAAGCCTCCAAGCATTACGATACCTGGTTCAGAGAAAGTGTCACTAATATCATCATCTTTGTCATCTTCATAATCCTCTTCCTCTTCTTCCTCCTCCTCATTTTCAGAAAGTTCGTGCTCGCTGCCAAATCCTTCATCATGGTCCTCATCATCAACATCCTCCTCATCCTCCTCATCTTCTTCAGGACTGCATTTGGTTGGCGGTTCACCCATGTTGTCAGAGACAAAAAGAGAATAATTGTGCTCTTCTTTTTTCTGGGATGAATCTGAGACCGACGTGCTGGCAGAAAGGCTGCTACTCTCTCCTGCTGCAATTGACCCAGGACCCTCCTGGGGCAGGGGACTGAGTAATAGTTCCTGGGTTTCTTTAAAAGGCAAAGCTGGAGTGGCATGACCCTGAAGAGGCTCCATCCCTTTTTTCTCTGGTCTCTTTGCTACTGCACCACAGTAGCAGGTGTTCTCCTTTGCTGCATCTGAGTGAACCTGGCTCAATAAGGGCCGGCTCTGCTGCACTGGGTTGATCTTTACTTTTGCCTTTTTTACATAGTCTTTACATTCAACATGAAAGTTCACCTTTTCATTATGATACATGTTGGTCTTCACCATGATTTGTGTGCTTGAAGTGGGTTTACTTGCTTTTTGGACACAGTCTGACAAAGGGACCTCAGCCTGAAGAGTCTTAGAAGAACACACAGGGGCAGCTGCTCTGCTTGCAATCTTTTTACCAGGGAATGAGGAGGGCAAGGGATTTTGTTTGACACTGAAAAGTGAATCAGGGTAATAAAGGGAATCAGAAACAGACTGAGAGTCCTCACTATTAAGCTGGGCCAAAGTTGGAGTTTTACTTATGACCTCTTCATCTTGGTAAGGGCTAGAAAAGTCATCAAGACCCAAGTAATCCACTTCTTTTGTTCCCCAGATGTCACAGCTGGTTAGTTTGGTATACTTTGTTAAGTCTTCACAGTATGTATCCCACTGTTCCCAGTTTGAGGTTACAGCACCCTCATTATCCAGGACATCTGTGAAAGACTCCAGATTTTCAATGTCTTTGCAGTCCTCCAAAGAAAGGAAGTTGTCTCGAGGATTCTGTTGGTAGTTCATCTCTCTATCCTGAGAAAGGTTTAAAAAAATCATACATCATATTTTAGGAAAGAAATATTCACCTCCATCCTCACTTCCATATATCAAATTGATAAATCAGTACTGCATCTCTGGTCTGTTTTATTTTAAGATAAAGGCTACTTACATGATGCTTTACCATTCCATCCAATATTTCCTTGGGCAAGGGAAAAAAAAGAGGGAAAATATGTCCCTTGAGAGGTTTAGGTATGGTCCAAATATCAAGGACTCTTAAACTTTACTATAAACACTCTTTCTGAAAAAAGTTTGTATTTCCTGATCCTTGACTTAGAAGGATTTTGGGATCTCCTTAGAAACAAGCTTCAATTATAAAGCAAATAATGAAGACTTTCCCTTCAACAGAGAGTCTTCTTAAGTGGGAACTTAAATATAGAGGCAAAGAGCAACACAAAGAGAGTTGGAACTCAGCCACGGAAAGATAAGATCTTTGGTAGGACCTTATAACAACTCTTGGGCATGGGGAATAAAATACTCCTCCTGAGTACGATACTCCTCATGAGTAGAGATGTGATTTTTAAAATGCCAGCAAGACTACACAGCCATTAAAAGGAATGCAGTGAAGCTCTAATGTACTAACATGACAGGATGCTCATTATATATTTTTATGTTAAAAAGAGTAAGTTACAGAATACTGTATCTATAAATATGTCATCCAACTAAAAATATTCATATATTTATATATGCATAGAAGACTCTGTTAGCAGTAGTTACCTTTGGGGAGAAGTTTTGGAGGGTGGAGGCTCAGGAAGGAAATAAGGAAGTTTTCAGTTTGTTTTTTTTCTGTTTTGATTTTTGCATTTGTTTGTTTGGGTCTTTTTGTTTTGTTTTTGCTTGTGTGTGGATGTCTGTGTGTCTTAACAGATTTAGTGCAGTATAGTTTACATACCATAAGTATCAAGTGTACAATTCAATGATTTTTAGTAAGTGAACAGATCTGTGTACTTAGTTTTCCAGTTTTTATATACTTTTTTTTTAAGTGTTTTTTTTTTTTAATAATTTTATTTATTTTTCCCCCAAAGCCCCAGTAGATAGTTGTATGTCATAGTTGCACATCCTTCTAGTTGCTGTATGTGGGACGCGGCCTCAGCATGGCCAGAGAAGCAGTGCGTCAGTGTGCGCCCGGGATCTGAACCCAGGTCGCCAGCAGCGGAGCGCACGCACTTAACCACTAAGCCATGGGGCTGGCCCTTAAGTGTTTTTTTTATTTATTTATTTTGTGAGGAGATCAGCCCTGTGCTAACATCTGCCAATCCTCCTTTTTTTTGGCTGAGGAAGACTGGCCCTGGGCTAACATCCTTGCCCATCTTCCTTCACTTTATATGGGACGCTGCCACAGCATGGCTTGACAAGCAGTGTGTTGCTGCGCGCCCGGGATCTGAACCGGCGAACCCCGGGCCGCCACAGCGGAGCATGCGCACCCAACTGCTTGCGCCACCAGGCTGGCCCTTTATATACTTCTTTATTGCTTAAGTTGTATGTAACTAAATTTATTTTTTAAATGTTTTTCTTAGGAATCTTAAGTGTCTATTTATCTCAAGAATAATGATAAGTATATTCAGATATCGCTTGTAATTGCTATTTTTGTCTCACATTCTCTGGCTCATACACTTTGCCCAATGTTATCATTCCTAAATTTTCCAGCTGAAAAGTCCTTTAGCAGTTAGGCATTTTTAAAAAGACAGCTTCTCATCCTCATCATCAAAAACTGGACTTAAAGATATGTAGATAACCTTTCCTTTTACTATTTTCAATAGGTTCATACATCCTTCTAAAATTATGAGACTGGTATCACAAGAATCAAATTTGGCCTAATCACATCTTTTTTCTTCTCAGACATTTATAAATAAAAACTCTACCACAATACTTTTACCTCAAATCAAGTAAACCAAAATTCAAGAAAATGTTACTTACCAGTTCATACATGAAATCTGGATCTGAACTGTTTGCTAAAAGATCTGTGCTCATCAGAGTCTGTTCTGAAAAGGTGTGGCTTCGAAAGGCATCCCCAAAAGGCGGATCCATTCCGCTTACACTAGGCTACAACAGAGTGATTTTAATTTTAGAACGTTAGAGACTAATTCAGGACCAAATTATTACACATAAGCCCCACTCCCACGCCTACTAACTTACTTATTATTTTCAGAACACAAGTCTGCATTTTTTCCTACTGCTTAGTACATTTAAGAGATTTAACTACATTAAACCGTGGACTTAGGAAAATTACTAAGATGCACTAAAAAACAGAAAAAAGGGGCCGGCCCTGTGGCGTAGCGGTTAAGTGCGCGTGCTCCACTGCTGGCGGCCCAGGTTCGGATCCAGGGCGCGCACCTATGCACCGCTTGTCAGGCCATGCCGTGGCGGCGTCCCATATAAAGTAGAGGAAGATGGGCACAGATGGGCACAGATGTTAGCTCAGGGCCAATCTTCCTCAGCAAAACGAGGAGGATGGATGTTAGCTCAGGGCTGATTTTCCTCACACACATAAAAATAGAATAGCAATTGTTAATAATAAAACCTAACGCTTATTTAGCCACTAGAGTCAGCACACAGTACCTAATGAGTACTTTTATTTAGCTATATAACATTTCTTCAAATCCATCTCTAACAACACTCCCTGAAGTGGAGAATTCTCTGCCATTTCCTGGAGTCTGCGGAAGTAGCAAGTCAGTCTCACTCTGTACTCCTAAGTGAGTCCAATGCCTTATTTCCCCAAACAAGCTGGAAGACAATTTGGGCATCTTTAGTCCAACAAATGCCTCCAGGAACATGATGGAGATAGGAGTAACCAAATATCCAAAAATCTCCTAAGTGAGACTAGTAACTTGGGCATGAGCTCAGTACCCTTAATCCTGATCTCTGAAGAGGGGACAATTCATTCCATAATAAATAAGAAGGGAAAAAAGACTCAGCACCCAGAATTAATGCTCCTTCTTTTCTCTCCATCCTCCTTTTCCATTTCTGGTGAAGTCAGGGCTCACACTCCTGAAATGGCCCAAACAAGTAAAAGGCCTCACTTTGAAATCTAACTTGGATGAAGAAAGAGGACGGGAAAGAATAAGAATTTCCTCTTTGCCCTTTTGTCCTTCTTCAAGTTTCTGTCGGAACTTTTAAAAATTATATTAGTCTATTCACTTATATTTCTCTATCCATATACCTTCTACCTACCACAGACTGGCCTTTTCATACACTCTCTCACGATGTTTATCTTCACTGGTACTTCTCATCCCATTCTTTTCTTTCTCTGATTTCCCCCAACCCTACCAGGCTGCAAGAACTTTATCTTCCTAGAAAAATTTAGCTTGAGAAAATAAGTGTTTAAGATTAGCCCTAAATTCAAGTATTCAATAAACAGCAAATTAAACCTTGAATGGGAAAGAATTCTAAATGGGTATATGTAGTCCACTTGGCACAGAGGTTGGGGTGGAGGTAGGCAGCTAGTCTTTCTAATACCAGCTAGCATATTCCCTTTCTTTGCTTCTGCTGCCTGCCTCTGAGTCACCGAGCAGTCCCAGCAAGTTGCTGATTTTTGTGTTCCAGGGAAGTTCTGCCTGGCCCCACATAAAGCCACCTAAGAGTCCCTGTCCTCTCATTATTGCTAGGTTTCTTCCCAGTACTGAACACAAAGAGGGGAGGGGTAAGAGCCAACCACTGGAGGTGGAAAGGAAGAAGTTTGGACATGCAGAGTGGGGACTAACAGGGCTTCATTTACTGTTTCAGTGATTACCTCAAAACAAAACTGATCAACTCAAAGTAGCTATCATAATATAAATAGATATAATCATTCTTAGACATATTTTGTGGGGAGTATATATATGTGTGTATGGATGTGTGTGTGAGTATGAAAGAGAAAGAGGCTGAAGTGCCTCAGCATTTCCTCTTAATTACTTCTAAATTCAACAGGCATAAATGGAAAGGAAAAATTGGGTAATAGGAAGAAGACAGAGAAGATGGAAATGGACTTTCTGTGGCAGATTAATTTTCAAGGGAGTTGGTTTAGCCTCCATCAAGCCAGCAGATGTCCACCTTCTAAGCAACTTTTCATTCACCATGTTCCTTGTGTCAAACTCATTAAACTTCAAACCTGTAGCAAAGAAGGAAATAGAAGCAATGGAAGGAAGGACATGACATGTATTCAAAACTAGCTAAGATCAAAAGCAAAATGTCTTAAAAAGGTAGTTAACGTCAAGTTGTGTTAAGATTCAGAGAATTTACAGAACCAATGGTACCGACTTTCTGCAGTGGAAAAATATAAAACTTTGCACCTACTCTGAATGATTTACCTGAGGCATTTCCAAGCCCAGATCCTGTGAGTCCGATCCCAAACTTCTTTTTTTTCTCGTTTGTAAATTCCTTTCCAGCTTTAATTTTAAGATCAAGGACGATTTTCACCATAAACAGCAGGTTTCTCCAGAATGCCTTCAACTCAACTGCTTGGATCACTGCCTTTTTTTTTTTTTTTTAATAATTCTGTATGAATCTGTCAAACAACAACACAAAGTAACTTCACCAAGCTCCATTAAAAACAAGCTGACCTTTCAAAAAAGACATTGACAAAGAACACTTTAAAGGAGTAAGTCTTGTGGTTGCAATATCAAGAATTTCGTCCTTTCTTAGTACCAACTCTTCCCAAAGTCACCATTCCTCCCTTTGTTTCTAAAATAGGATTAGTCAATAATCAATTGGCAACATTTTTTTTAAAACACCCTGACAAAATTAACATAGGTCCATCTTTCCTGTGATCTGAAAGACGTATTATACTTAATGTTAAAGTAAAGCTTCCATTCACACTTTATGTTCTGTATGAGAAAACATGTCTCAGCATTTAATTCCATCTATTGTATAATCATTACTGCTAAATTAATCTACATTTTATATCTCACAAATGTACAAGAAGAGTAACGAATACATAATAGTCAATGACAGAATTTAATATATTCCTACATTAAATAAAATCAACATTCCTATTGGTATATGCAACATTATTGAGTTATAAGTGAAAGGTATCCCTGAAGTAAGAATTATTCCAGTTAAGTTTTTAACACATGTATGTTGAGGGGGAGAAATGGGAACAAGGACTACTTTGCAGAGTGGTTTCAAGGGTTAAATTAAACGATGATTGCAAATCACCTGGCACAGGGTCTTATGTAGTAGGGACTTAAATGTTAGTTTCCTTTTCCTTCCCCTGTGAAGGTCTTAATTGAGAGGAACTAAACAACTATACCCTACTTCATCTTTTCCTAAATCAGCGGTCCTCCAAGTGTGATCCCAGGATGAGCATCATCAACATCAGCATCAACCTGGAAATCTGTTAGAAATGCAAAATCCTGGGCTCCAGACCAGACTTACTAAAGCAGAAACTCTGGAAGTGGGGCCCAGTAATGTGTTTAACAAGCCATCCAGGTGATTCTGATTCTCCCTAAAATCTGAGAACCACTGCCCTACAAGTGAACTTCTTGCTCTCATTCAGTCTAGATGCAGTATCATTTCTTCCAAAGAAATGTTAACTCTCTCTGCAGCTAACACATTCTCTGGACTAGAAGGTTAGAGTGGTACATTATTTCAACTTCAAAGACCTCTTGCTGAACAAATAAGAGATAGTCAACAAGGGACTCAATAATTGTTCTACCTAATTAGATTACTAAATTGACTACCATTTGTATTTCCTGGATCTTTGCTGGGCTCTTCCCTCTTGTAGGCTGTCATTCCCAGCTCGCTGTTCTAGTCTAAGAAACACCGCCAAGTGCCCAGTCTGGGCCTAGAAACAGAATTAACTAGATGTCTCAATCCAGTGCTACTGTCTAAGTGGATTGATCCCTGCTCCTGCCAAAGGCCAGCTCTCGCCCAACTTCTCCTCACATGGCCTCACGCCTTTGTCCCATTCCTGATACGCAGTCTCAGTCCTAACTCTTCCCCTGATTCCTATAAGAAACAAGGTCAGTTGCCTTTTCTACTCCTATTACTTAGACCCCAAAAAGGCATATGATTCATATGAAGCATTCAACAAAGCATACAGTGTAATCCTGGTTTGATACCCTCTAAAACCTGAAACTTATCCTTACTAGCAACAGAGCTAAAGACTCAAGAAGAGATTGAGCTCTATTCAACATATATCTATTGGCATCTACTCAAGACACTGTCTACCACAGCATAGTTTATCAGGGAAACACTGGACAAAAAAGGCCTAAGTTCTAGTCGCAGCTCTTGCTTGCACACTATACAACACTAGGTAGGTCAATCTTCCTAAGCCTCATTTTTCTTACCTCTAGAAAGAAAACACTACTACTCTCTCCTGGCTACCGAATTTTCTATACCATAAAACTTCCATACAAATACAAGTATTTATTTAAAATCTTATTTACAGTCTTGGCCTCAAAACAAACTTCAGTAAATGCAGTTAGCAAAAAGAGCACTTGTCTGGGAGACAGGAGACTTGGATTCCAGTTTTGATAATTAAAACTAAACAGCCTTCTACATTAGAGCAAGTTACTTAAATTTTTGCCTTACCTCCTAGTCTGAGGAATTACAATTATCCTCCCTTAACTATGTAATAGGGATGTTATGAGAATTGAAAGAGATATTAAATTAGTATATAGTAATAAAATAAATCTTAAAGGTGATTATTATCAATAGGTATATTTTGCCAATGCTTCTTTTGTCCCATAGCTAATCCAGCTCAGAAACTCAACATCTGTGACAGCTGTTGGCAGCAAGCCTGAATGTTTTAAAGACACCAGTTCCCAAAGTGAGGGTATCCACTATGTAAAGCGTTCAGTTGGTTCCCCAGGACAGTTAAAGGTCCTTACTTGCTTCTCCTAGTCTCTCAGGTAGTAGCAAACAGGAAGGGGGAAGGGCCAGTTCTTTTTTTATTTTTCTTTTTTTTCCCCCAAAGCCCCAGTAGATAGTTGCATGTCATAGTTGCACATCCTTCTAGTCGCTGTATGTGGGACGCGGCCTCAGCATGGCCAGACAAGCGGTGCGTCGGGGCGCGCCCGGGATCCAAACCGGGGCCACGAGTAGAGGAGCACGCGCACTTAACCGCTAAGCCATGGGGCCGGCCCCAGAAGGGCCAATTCTACTCCAAACTGCAGGACCTCTTTCAGTGATAAACTCTTCCGTTCTCTAAAACTAATGACTCAAGTTCACAACAAACTATCCTCATCCCCAACGTTCTGCACCCATTTTCCACAAATACTTGGTACCATTCCAAACATTTATTGTGAAACAATCATAAAGAACAAAATTCCTCAACCAAAAGTGAAACAAAAATAATATAGGCTTCTACAGCAATTACCATTACATAGAATCTTCCAAAGTGATACACTGCTCCATAACTATATCCTATACCAGGGAGCCATATACAAAGGGTACATTAATGCTTAGATGGCCGAGTAACACTGAGGAGGAAGATGTAACAACTTGCTTTTCAGGATGCCTTCACACTTCTTTCGGCTCAAGAATACCCACATTTTACTCAAAGCTTTGATATTCAAGTACACAGATGGCAATGGTCTAATTTCCCAATGTGTAACCTGACGAATATCTGTTCCAAGGAATGTTAGATGGTTACTCAACAAGAGGGTTGTGAGGTTTGGAAAAGATCACGTTAACAAAACTGCTACAGTGCCTTCATGCAGGACTTCTTGGAAACTTTAAAGTGCTAGGTGCTAATGCATGTTATAAATCACCAATAGGTAAATGGAGCAGATATCATTTCCCAAAATTATTTGATCATAAAACCCTCCACCCTGTCCTCAAGCAGACCTTAAGACTAGTGTTTCTTCAAAAACAACAACAACAACAACACTAGATGAAAGGCTAAATAAATTCCCCTAGTTATTACTTCCTTGTATTCACAGCTCTGGCTCACCAGTTCCCAACACAGTTTTGTGAGTTTTTCAAGGAAGAGACGACTGTGGGTCCATCAGAAATAATATTTACCAATAGATCTTCTGTACCTGGGCTCATTCAAAACTATTCAACAACAGCTCCTAGGCACAGGAAGATACTCTGGTAACAGAGAACTAGCTCCCTGAAGCAATGAGATGGGGCAAATGACTGATTTACAAGCAGCAATGGTACCACTTGAAGACAGCCACAGCTTCAAATCTCTTTCATAGCCCTTTCCACCAGGTCGTACTCTACGCTTTTTGGTTTTCCACTTGAAAATATGTTGAGGCTTACTACGTATGATAGGTAAGGCAAAAAGTAAAGTAAGATGATAGGTAAGGTCAAAGGACTTCTTACAAAAGCTCATCCCTGGGAGTGCTCAAACCACTAATCCAAACTTTAAAAGCCAAACCCAAGAGCTGCCTGGTATGCCCCAGCAGTTCACACATATCCAAGAGCTCCTAAATTGTGTCCCTTCTGAAGCTGAGGGTTTCAGTTGATCCCTGAGAGTCCACATATAAAAAAAGGTTGACATCAAGGAAAATATAAACCTCTTTATAAATGAAAATGTCTTAGGAATAAGAAGATACTAGTTATGATGGCCAGAATCCCTGCACCTCTCCTTTTATATAGCACTGGCTTAGGCCACTGTTCCCTTTCTATAACTTGAGGGAACTGCTTCCTCACAATGATAAGTAGCACTTCTGAATCATTCAACATTCACTAGAGCAGATGTTAAAAAATTTTTGACACACCATTTAGGATGGCTATTATCCAAAAACAGAAAGTAACAAGTGTTGGTGAGGATATGGAAAAATCGGAACCCTTGTGTATTGCTGGTTGGAATGTCAAATGGTGCAACTGGGAAACAGTTTAGCAGTTCCTGAAAAAGTTAAAATACAGAATTACCATATGATCCAGCAATTCCACTTCTCGGTACATACCCAAAAGAACTGAAAGCTGGGACTCAAACAGATACAGGTACACCCACATTCAAAGCAGCATTATTCACAATAGCCAAAAGGTGGAAACAACCCTAGTGGCCATCAACAGATGAACGGATAAACAAAATGTAGTACATACATACAATGAAACATTACTCAGCCATAAAAAGGAATGAAATTCTGACATATGCTATATCGTGGATGAACCCTGAAAGCATATGCTAAGTGAAGTAAACCATACAGAAAAGGACAAAAATTATATGATTCTACTTATATGAGGTACCAGAAGAGACAAATTCATAGACAGAAAGTAGAATAGACATTACCAGAGACTAAGAGAGTTATTGTTTAATGGGTAGAATTTCTATTTGGGATGATAAAAATGTTCTGGAAATAGTGTGATAGTTACATAAAATTGTCAATGTACTTAACGCCATTGAATTGCATACCTAAAAAGGGTTTAAATTGCAAAATTTGTTTATTTTACCACAATCAAAAATAGTAAAAAATTTTCTTTGACTTAAGAAATGCTGACACATTTATACTGTTATTTAATTCAGATACCATGGTTTATTCTGATCTTTCCTAATCTTTGCTGGTTCATGCTC